AACTCGCACATGTACCGAAAATTGAATCTGGTTTCCAGAAATCTATGTAGAGTCTCAAGGATGCATTAATTCTCTGGAAACTTGAAGAATACATTATTTTCAAAAATCAAATCGTAATTTATATCATATGTTTATTAAAAGCAAACAGTAGGAAAAGGCTTTGAAAAATTCAGTTTAACAATTGATTTCTTTGTTCGAAATGTTCATGTTCTTTCGAAGTATAGAAATTGTTCAATTTTGGTTCCATGTAGTGTTTTTACTATTAATGACGATCTCGGTTGGCCTTTGCGTTTTGAATAGCTTTTGTTATTTCAACAGCTGCTGCTGGCACCTGCACGTGATTGAAAGTAAGATTCTCGTTGCCTGATGCTAGTCCTACTTGGAGGATTTTTGGCCTGTCCCCACAACATGAACCACAACATAGACCTAGCAGAAGGCAAGGCCATGTACATGTAATACAGGCCACCAATAATATAAAATAAGTGCCACAGTTTTGTTGTGCTGCTTCACGCAAAACTTGGATGTCTTGCAAAAAGATGGTGGTATCAGTATGAAGGCCTGTACAGCAACTACAAGATGGTTGTGCTTGTCGCATAATCAATCGATTTTTGGTTAATGCAATGGTTGTTCTCGGTCCACAGCAATGCGAGCAGCCTTCTTGACAATCGTAGATATGAATGATGGGTTCATCACTGAGCGGAGGAAAAGTGTTGAGAAAATTGTTCCCTCCTGGTTGTTGCATAATAGGCTGGACCCTAACAAACACATTTCAACTCATTCGCAAAGCAATTCGTATAGCACTTACATTGTTATTCTTTCACAGCGCTATAAAGATAAAGTTTTGTGCTGCTAGTTGGTCACGAAGTATTGTACAGTTGTTCAGCCTATCGTTAGCGCAAGTAAAGAGTAATTATCGATTGCAACAGAGTTCGAGAAAAATAGATTATCAAGGTATTATCAGCTTCAATTGGAATCCGAGATCTTTTCCCCCTAAGGGAATGTGAGAAGTTCAACGAAATAGGATTATTCCGGTGTTTGATCCAATGAATTCAAAAGTTGAACAATAAATAACGTTACTTTAATAGTGTGAAAATATACTGTTCTTCTTCGCAGTTAAGAAATATCTTTTGCCACCGAGACCAAACACTTTACGCTATACAAATTCTTTATTGACGCTAGGTACGTCCTGAATCCAAGCCTAGATCAATCTACTCGGAACCAATCAGGTGCGATACTGGTTAGACTCGATCAAGTTTGACGTATCTCTGTCTCGATATATTTTACTGTTGATTATCGATATCTCGCATTTGGACCAATGCCTTCTTTGTTTTTTTTTGTCATTCAGTAATACCACTGCAATGTTTTTTATTTCAAAAATTTGTTTTTAAACGATGTCAGTTGGTAGGTATTACTGAGTTAGGAATAAACTGGAAATTTCAACTCAAATGGATAAGCCTTTCTAGAGATATAGGCAATACAAGTATCAGGGGGTAGGTCCCACTTGTAGTATCTTACAGTGCAATAGTTTTTCTGTAAAGTTTGATTTTCTACACAACGGTAAGAAGAGTAGGGGTCCAACAAATCCTATTTTTCTACACAACGATTGTAAATTTTCGATATGAAGACCAACCAAATCCAACCAAATGTTTGTGTCGATTATAACCAGTTTTATTTGCTCCACTCGATAATAGTGTAAAATGACCAAATCTATAAAGAAAACTTCTAAGATTTGGTAGGATTTTATGAAAATATGACAGTTTTTACCAAATCCTACCAAATCTTAGAAGTTTCTTTTATAGATTTGGTCATTTTACACTATTATCGAGTAGAGCAAATAAAACTGGTTATAATCGACACAAAGATTTGGTGGGATTTGGTTGGTCTTCATATCGAAAATTTACAATCTTTCTGTAGAAAAATAGGATTTGTTGTACCCCTAGGCAACAGTTAGAACAGAGATTTTTGTACCACAGATACTATCAATGATGAACTATCCTTCCATGGTATTGAAAGTGTCCTATCGTCTAATATTTATGAGCTAGTACTATATACTATTCTCAGAAGACATGGTCCCACAGATGATAAGGCAAGTTGATCACATCAGCGTGATAGACTAACTCGAAAGTATTTTCATTTGAAAGAGTACATCAAATTGTGTCGAATGTGGCTTTCAAAAGTTTGTAACATTAAATTTTGATATGAAAAGTTTTCTGAACAAGGCTATGAAGACCAAATTCAGGCATTGACTCTCCCTATGAAGATTGAGGATTTGTTTTCAAATATTCAATCTAAGTGTTTCAAATGAAAGCTCATGTCAGGAGACCTGTACATCCAAAATTTCAGTTCATTTGAGTATGTCTGTGAAAATTAGGGAAGGAGTTTTCTTTTAAAAATTTATAGGGTAATATGTATGGCCCGTCTAATCTTTCTAAGAGTCATATTTCAGTTAACGCGCAATCAAAAGATATGAAATTTCTACCATAAATTATTCATATCGTGTTGTTAATATACAAAACGTTGTAGGCCAAAATTCGAATTTTCATTCTTGCGAATTACCTGTGGCAAATTGCCGTGGTCCCCTCAGGATTATGAAAAAAATAAAAATTCGAATTTTCATCTGAAACTTTGTGTATATTAAGGACTCGATATGAATAGTTTATGATGAAAATTTCAAATTTTTTGGATACACTTTAACTGAAATACGACTATTAGAAAGATTAGACGGACCTTATGTATTACCGTATAAAATTTTAAAAAGGGACTCCTTCACTAATTTTCATAGACATACTCAATTGAACTGAAATTTTGGATGTAGAGGTCTCCTGACATGGGCTTTCATTTGAAACACTTAAATTGAATATTTAACAATAAATCCTCAATGTTTATAGAGAGAGTCAGTGCCTGAATTTGGTCTTCATAGTCTTGTTCAGAAAATTTTTCCTATCAAAATTCAATGTCACAAACTTTAGAAAATGACATTCGACGCAGTTTGATGTGTTATTTCAAATGAAACTACTTTCGAGTTGGCCTATCATGCTGATATGACCGAATACTTTTAATATCGTTAAAAGATTGGCCACCATTCATAGTGTCTGTGTTAAAAAAATCACTGTTATAACTCTTGTTGTTGTTTAGAAAATCAAACTTTACTGGAAAGTATTGGACTATAAGGTACTCCAAATAGGACCCACCCCTCATACGTGTATTGGATACATCTCCAGAATGGCTTATCCATTTGAGCTGAAATTCGCAGTTTCTTCCTATCTTTATGAGACATAGCTACTGTGAGAATATCAGCCACATCGGCGACATTGATTGAGCAACGTTGCCAGGAAATGGGCGTAGCTTACATGCCATGCCTTCTATGTGTGTTGACTCCAAATACTATACAACTTTACGAAGGTACTCAGAGGATAAATATAATAGAAAGCATTCAATGAAAGCCTTAAAAATCAGTTTTCAACTGCAGTTTATATTCATCATAGATAAGTCAATTCAAATATTGCCCAAACTCAGTGATTTTTGAAAAATAAGAGCTCTTATTACTTTATCAAATTGAGTTTTTTCTTCTATATCATTATTATTTTACTTTATGAAGAAAATATTCTATATAATCTTACTTACTATATCACTTTCATCCGAACTTCGATGACTGAAGATTTACTTTTTTTTTTAAAAGACTTATAATGACAACAAATAGAATCTTTTATATCAATATTTAACGATTTTTCGAGCTGAAGTGTTCGTCTTTCATCTTTTAATACTATGATATTTGGCATTAAAACAAAAAAAAACAAGTGCACTAGTATGTGTTCCAGTATGCTTTCATAACTTTCATTTTTTCCTCAAAGGGTGGGTGTGGGTGTGGATGTGCGGGTGTGGGTGTGGGTGTGGATGTGCGGGTGTGGGTGTTGGTGTGGATGTGCGGGTGTGGGTGTGGGTGTGGATGTGCGGGTGTGGGTGTGGGTATGGATGTGCGGGTGTGGGTGTGGGTATGGATGTGCGGGTGTGGGTGTTGGTGTGGATGTGCGGGTGTGGGTGTGGATGTGCGGGTGTGGGTGTGGGTGTGGGTGTGGATGTGCGGGTGTGCGGGTGTGGGTGTGGATGTGCGGGTGTGGGTGTGGGTGTGGATGTGCGGGTGTGGGTGTGGGTGTGGATGTGCGGGTGTGGGTGTGGGTGTTGATGTGCGGGTGTGGGTGTGGGTGTTGATGTGCGGGTGTGGTTGTATGTATCCATTTCATCTACGCCCACACCCACACCCCCACACATCTACACCCACATCCACACCTCACACCCGCACCCACACTCATACCGCACAATATTCCGGCGGCCACCATAGTCAAGATTTTTATTAGATCAAGGATATCGAACTTCAATCGTAAATTGGAACTTCCCATCTCACTGACGACATTAAACCGATTTAGTTTCCACTGAGAGGAATCCTTCCTTGATTTTCATCTATCCAAATATCAGCCTAGCAATAAGGTTAGTTAGATGTGGCGAATTTTGTCTACATGCGTTCTTCGCTCATACGTAAATAAGCTATACACAAGAAGTACTTTTCTTTTGTACTGTTACACGATGCGTATGCCTTTTTCATATATAAATTTATAATTCATATAAAATGATTTCTTTTGCTTTTTTGTTATTTCAACATGAGTGTGCTTTTTTTCATTTATAAATTTATAATTTATAGAAAATTATTTCTTTTGCTTTTTTGCTATTTCAATATGGGGGTGCCTT